TGCTTGGCTTGGGCTTGCTCTTTTATATAGCATAGTCCAGACCCACCTATGGGCCGGCGGGCGGGGCAGGGGTGGCACTACCTACAGTGGACTCATTCTTCCCATGTCAATCACTAATGGAGAAAACACCCTACAGACTTGCCTACAAGCCAGGCTTATTTAGGCATTTTTCAATTCCTATTCCCTTTTCCAGATGGCCCCAGCTTTGTCAAGTTGACAGAATCTTACTAGCACGTCTCTCTAAAATCATTCTGCACAGCGCTCCTCACTGGCTACATCTGCTTCATGGACGTTCTGAAATCTTCTAGTGATAAAAATTTATTTTGAATTTTTGATAGTGAACTTAATTAGCTTAACTGTCTAAACAATATTAATATGAAAACACACAGATTTAGTGTGTCTTCTCTGACTTGAGGAGGGGTAAAAATGAGTTTAATTTCTTACTAAAAAAAAACAAACCAGAAAAATGTGAAAACCAAGAGGAAAAATATCATATGAGCTCAGTTATCCTACTTATTTTATTTTTCTCTCTTAAGTTTTAAATAGACTCCGTAAGTTTAAAGCACTTCTTACAAGAGATGATGTTTAGACATGCTCCCAGGCTCTCTCTCCTATAGCCTCTCTGGTAGTAAGGTGTGTCCTAATTGCGTCACCAGATACTGCCTGCCTGTCTTCCCTTTGAAGACAGAATGTGGAATGTGGCTGTCAGTTTTCCTGGCAGTTCTCTGAGATGCCCTGCTACATCTTAGGGTACATTGTGGGACTCGAGCTCAGTTCTGTTACCTAAACTGCTGTGACTGAGTAGTGCATGATTTTTTTTGGTAGAGTTTATTGCTCCCTTATATAAAGTACAGATAGATGGAATGGTTACATGTAATTGTTTATTTACTTAATATATTCAAATGTTGTCTTTAGAAAACTGTGTCCTTTTTGAAAAATTTGAATTAAAATTGCTAAATAGAACTTTTGTTGTTGTAAAAATGATTCTGGAAGTGTTTTTTTCCCCCATAAAATACAATTATGAATATTTGAGAATGACCCTCATATAATACTCTTTAAATGTATATTAAAACTTTAATGTAAATTTATTATTTCTATACTATTATTGTGGAGAGCCTTATGAACATTAGTTTACTAAAATATCTTTATAATTATTTGTGTCAAGATCTTACTTGAAAGCAAATGAATCTGGATTCTGGTTGTTCCTAGCATGTCTGTGGCAAGGCTCATAGAACTGTCTCCCTTCCATGATTAGTTCAGGATGGGTTGCAGCTCTGGACCTAATTAGATGCCACATGGTAGGCTTCTGGAGAGTGGAGATGCTTTCTTCACTGGATACTGGTTATTGCTGCTGTGTCCTTGTGTATGTGCTGAATGCTTATGACTCATTCTATAATCGCATGGAAAGGACAAAAGCCAACATGCTATTAGAGTAGACCAGGAGAGACAATCCCTAATTCCTGGTGGGAGATGTTGAGTTAAATAGTCCCTCACTGAATCTACATCATCTCTTTGCTTAGGAGAGTTCAACTGGTCCTTATTATTATTACTCAGTCTGTTGTTGAACTCTGTTCTAGGATTTCTTATTATAGTGTTAATTGGGAGGAGCAGTGATTACCCACTGGAAACTTTCAAATTGGGTCTTTTGACCCTCAGAGGAGGAGACCCAACCATTCCACAACTCTCCCAGTTGTAGGTATTTCTGTCCCAGATAAAGTCTCAGGAGTGGAGGTTTAGAGGTTAACTGAAAGAGGGTCTTTTCAGTGCAGCTATGGAAAGCAAGATAATGATGAAATTTAATTAATGGTCTTGGTGAATGATTGGTTATATATGAGAGGAGATAATAAAGTTGAAGTCATTGGTGTAGATTAGATTTCCTATGCAGAACAAGAAAGAGGGAAGTATGGCGTTTCAGTAAGCACTTGCATTTGTTCAGGGGGAAGTGCTGGGCAAAGTGGAAGGGGAAGTAGGTTCCAGAAATGATGTGTTTCATCTTCCACTCTTCCCAAAGCAGTTCTGAGACCACGGTCACTGTGGATTTTAGAATATTTAAAGCAGATTTTTTTTCTTAAGTGTTTGTTTCTTCTTAGATGCTGCATGGCAGCTTCCTGGGTTGAGTGGACTGTCCACCTAATACTAGCATTTACTCTTCTCTTTCACAAAGCTGTAGGTCAGTGGTTCTCAAGCTGTGGGTCACGACCCCTTTGGGTCGAATGATCCTTTCACAGGGGTTGCATATCAGATCTTTAAATTACAGTTCATAACAGCAGCAAAATTATAGTTATGAAGTAGCAACAAAAATAATTTTATGGTTGGGGGTCACCACTACATAGGAACTGTATTAAATGGTCATAGCACTAGGAAGGCTGAGGATCACTATTATAGGTGAGCTACATTCTGTGGGATAAACACCCAGTAAAGAAGTTTCCATGAGTTATTTCCAGTCATTAATATGATAGTTAGATGTCCTATTTTGGAACATGTATAAAATATCCATTATTGCCCATTGGTACTTGCTCTGGATAATTTCATATTCTAGTTCATTCATCTTGTTATTTCTGTTTTTATCTTTGACATGTGTTAGCAATTATGATGTTTTTGTGTGAGAGTAACATTTTTATTAGGAATATTCTGAAACTCAAATTTTTCTTGGTTAAGGCAATTTCTGTAGAAATAAAATCCTTTAGTAACACAGGAAACTTAGCTTGTTTGTGGTCAACAGTATGGCAAACTTAACTAACTTGCAAATACATATATGGAAGTAACTGTGTGTGTGTGTGTGTGTGTGTGTGTGTGTGTGTGTGTGTGTGTGTGTGTGTATGTGTGTGTGTGAAAGAGAGAGAGAGAGACAGACAGACAGAGAGACAGAGAGAGAGAGAGAGAGAGGGAAAGAGGGAGACAGACACAGAGAAAGACAGAGAGAATGAGAATATAAAACCTCACACTTATTGCTAATATATGTAGAAGTATAATTTTCATTTATCACTATTATTAAAATGACTCAAGGAACAAAAGCTGTCTGAATGCTTTTTTCCTCTTTTCAGCCCCCTCCCCCTTTAAAGTAACTTTACTTTGCACCTGTAATTAAAGAAGAAACGAAGTCCTCGGAGCTAGGAGGACTTCAGCTATTGATCTTTGTGCACCCTGCTTATCCTGTCAGGGAACAGTCAACGGCATAGCTGCTCTGTCGCTGACAGAAGCTGAGAGGAGGGCTTTCCCCCCTATACTGTTTATACACTTGTCTATAGACCTGCTGGCTGGTTGAATTTTAAAGAGTGAAGAGGTTTAAAGACTTGTCCCCTGAGGGATGCTGCTGCCAGTTGGGAAGCGAGCTGAGGCTGTTTTGCAGAAGTGTGTTGCATGCATGTTGCTTATGGAGAAGAGAGGGTGTTTGTGAAAGATTAAGCAACTAAGTGAGAGGCTTCCTCCTTAATTTGAGCATAAAAATTGATGTGAAATATACAGCTAATTTATATATATTCAGTGGTAGACATTGACTTTGGTTGCTTTTTATTGTTTCTGAATTATGTGGGGAGTTTTGCAAGAGTTCATCTTACTACTCTTTATAGGTGTAGTAAATATGGTAAGTGACTTCACGTTATATGACACAAGGTAACAATTAAGCAGCAGTCAAATGAAAACAACTGCCCTCATTTGAAATAAGCTACATTTTTAGTCATTTATTTCATGTCTAGTGACTTCTTTAATTACAGTTAGCAAGATATTGCAAAGAGTAAGGTAACTTTCTCTAAGCATGGGTCTGTGCTCAAACTTTTAATGGTACACACTCATAAGCAGGCCTGCATACTTGCCCTAAGGCTAGCATGCTTTTTTCCCCTTAATATGATGCTTTTCTTTATGCTTCTGTGAGTCTGTTCTCTTGAAGCTTTCTTAGGTATTGCTGTTGGATTTCTACAGTATTTTATTTTAAACTAATAATTGCCAAATATGTTTTTTTTAAATTAAGAAATTCGCTTAAAAGTACTTAATACTGTATTTCTATAGAAGCTTTATGCATTCGGATCAGTCTGATTTTACTGGTAAAAGGCATTTGTGGAAGTGACTGCTTCGTTAAGATATTTGCTCCTTTGCTTCTTAACAGGCATTGTCTTTAGTTTCTGCTCCTTTATGAGAGCATCTCACTTTAATTTTTATGATATCTGTAATTATAGGTGGGACCTTAGATACAAAGTTAAGTTTTGATGTATTGCTCAGATACATCAAAGTACATTTTTTTCTTATTTTTCCAACTGTCTGACAGTTTGCATTTTTTGGATTTTAATAAATATAATTTCTAAATTTTTAAAAAGATTATTGTCTGTTTTAGTAAAACATTGATTTTTCCTATCTAATTACTTAATATTTTAATATTTAACTATATTATAATAGAGACATATTTTAAAATATGCATTTAAGAGGGCTGTTTGAAATAAATTTAATACCATGTGTTTAAACATGTAAATGTATATTTTAGAATCTGTACAAAGTCTTTTAACTTAAAAAAACCATTTGCATTTGGGACATGCAGAGTTGTTATCCTTCTCAGTAATTCATTCTGCTGCCAACTTCATTCCCTTTTCTCTGCCTGCATTTTAATTGAAACAACATTTATATTTTAGAGCCAGAATCTGTGAAAAGTCCCCGTGGCTAGCCTGTGGTACAAGTAGCAGCAGACACAGCTTGCCCATATGGTGTGGTGCTTCTTGTGAGATCCATCTGGCCTTGTTGAAGGGGATCCCAGCAGGGATGCAAAGGGTGTTAATACCCTTCAGGCCAGGCCTTGCCCTCCCGGGGCTTCCGGGCTTTGTCGGTGCAATCTGCCAAAGCACACACTTAATTCCTTTTTAATAATCAATTATTTTAGTCGGAGAACCCGAGCCTTTGTCTTAAAAATACTTCATCCACCCCTTGAAAATGTCCCAAAGAAAGTTTTAACTGCATTAAAAAAAAAAAAAAAAACATTCTAAAGCATCCTCTTTATTTTGAATTTGCATTTATAGGAAGTACTGCAGAGCGTGCCCAAGTTCTGTTTTCCCTTTGACGTGGAAAGGTACAGTATAAGTTAATAATTAAGATAACTTTATTTTTCTTAGCATACATTTCACAGTGATTAAATATACATTTTAAGAAAATGACATATACCTTCATTTTTTTTTTTCTTCCAATTCAAACACTGGTGATGTGAGGTTCAGAATAGATAATTAGATAATGCTTTTCAGATTATTCTTTTACTTCCTCGGCCATGGCCAGTGAGGACATCTTCAAGTAATGTTGGCCACAGGTTATGTTTCTTCTTTTTATTCTTCAGGTATGGATTGTAAGCACTAGCAGAAAAAAAAATGTCATTGGTCTTTGATCAGGGCCTTCATATGGTCTTTTGAAACTAGATGTTTGTACCCTGTTTTCACTACCAGTTCATCCTAATTGGAAGAGCATCTGTGTTATATTGTGAACTCACTGTTCGTTGTCTCCCAAGAACAGCAGCATAGAACAGAGTGTTACTGCCGTGGCTGTGGGAAACTTACCCAGTAGCTTTGAAAACTTCATTGTGTTTATGTTCCACTGCAAATACTAAGTGAACTTCTATATGCAGTTGGAATTTAGGATGATAGAGACTCTGGACATAATGACATTTATTGTTTTTTGTGTGATTTATCACTATTATTAGTTTTATTTGAGTGTACAATATAATGTTTTTAAAAGAAAATTTATTTTAGAAAGATACTTTGTCAAGGATTAGTAACACTGAAATTTTAATGTATAGATTGTAAAGTGATCTAATAGTATGCTAGTTGATACTAATAAATATTGCTTATAAAAATTATTTTCTTATCTTCAGTTTCTGGAGAATTCGTTATTCTGTCTTACTCCAAAATTATAGTATTAAGTCAATAGTAAGAACAAAATAAAGGAAGAAAAACTGCAAGAGGAAATTATAAATCTTAAACACTAGAGGACACATTACTCACTGGAGGATTTATTTGAAGTTTATAAAACTAGAAAAAGCCCCGTCCATTTAAATGTGTACTTGTTTAATAACTGGTGTTTTGTGACAAAATAATTTACTGTTTTAGAACACTGGTAGTAGTTTTTTCAACTTTTCAAAATCCATATGAATATTTTAAAACCAAAATTTATAGGTCATCAATATTTTGTTTTCGGACAAAGAATCTCAAGTTCTAGTTTGGTTTTATGAGCCAATATCTGGAAGTATATTGATGCATTTTAAACAGAGGTAAGCATTTTGTCTAGTAACTTATATCATCCCTTATGCTGAAGTGGGACATGTCATTGGGTTCTATCTTACTTATTTCAAAATCAGGTAAAACTCATTACAGATAACTTAGTAGGTTTCTTTAGGAGAAGTGTATTCTTTTGAGTTGATGTTTGATTCTTCAGCTTTTTGATAATTCTAAAAGATAATGCTAAGAAAAATACTAGTAGTGCTTGGTGTGATGTACTACGTTGGGTAAGAATGTCAACAGAAGAAGCAATTCAACATGATGGTGGTCACTCTCAGTGGATGAAGCAACATGATTTGCTATCCAAGCAATTAAAATTTGGAAAAAGTAGAATACCTTAGACAAGAGAGAGGCTAGAGATGAGTGTAGTGACTGAATCTATTGATTTTTCTGAAGAGTGAGTAATCATGACTCCAACCTCATGATGTATTTTATGGGGAACTAACTCTTCTGAAAATGTAGGATGAGCATTGATTTCCGAGTGAGGCATTTGATTGTATTGACATGCTCTACCTATGAGATGTTAGAACCTCTTGTGATGCTTGACTCTTGACTCATGGGCTGATATACAGATTCATGACCCTTTAGTTATAGAACATCATTCCAGCTTCTAGAACCTAGTACTGGAAAGACGAAGCCAATGCAAATACTAGTCAAGCCTTTTTATCTTCAAGAAAATGAGCACAGATTTAATGTTGTGATGTTCTATCTTAGGGCATCTCAGAATCAAGTTGGACAGCACTTTACCTTCGTACTGACAGACATTGAAAGTAAGCAGAGATTTGGGTTCTGCAGACTCACGTCAGGAGGCAGAATTTGTTTATGTATTCTTAGGTGAGTAATTATAATCAAAACTTGGCTATAGAATAAATTATCTTGCTTTTCTGCTGTATCATGCTTGGGATTTCAAAATATCAAAACAAATTCTTACATTTTGTTTATTTTTTTTGCTTGTTCAGTCTATATCCAAGAAATTAAGAAATAATCTCCACATACAGGATAAATTGTTTACCAATAACATTAGAAATTTTCTTAAAAGAACTAAATCTTTTAAAGATAAGGTGTTATGGATTTATCACTGAAAAGTAACTATTAATGTGTGAGTCATGATATGTGTAAATAGGATAACATTTAGTAAAGTTAACACATACTCTTTTCTGTCATTGATGCTCGTGTGATTTTTGTGAATGAATTTCTGTTTTAAGGCAAAGGTTGCAAAATTGTAGTTGGGGAAGAAGTTATAGAGTTTTGTTGGGCCACTGGGTATTTTAAAAAGTTTAAAAGATGTTGTTAACCTTATATATTTTTAGAAGTTTTGTATAAAATTTATGTTCCTAATTTATTTTGAGGAATGGGGATATCTGCTAATTGCAGGTCCTACCTATCCCAGTGGAAACAATAAACTGGAAATAAATAGGGTTTTAATTTTGTGATGATCTTGCTAGATTCATAGTCCCCTTCTGCAAGTATTGCGATTTGAGCTGTTGGTAGTTGAAAAAGAAGTATTTAAACTTAGAGTTCCTGTAAGATGTTGTGGTGAACAAAGAATCCAGATGTAGCCTATAAAAAGTAGAATTCTTTACTACTATGATTTATATAGATAATGGCAATTCTAGACTCAATGGAAATGATTGTAGAATAATAACATTCAATTTTCAGATTAGCATATGAAGAAAACCCTGTGTATTAGTAACTTTTCTACTGCTGTGGTTCCACACCATGACCAAGGCAACTTACAGAAGGAAGGAAAGGTTTATTTTGGGCTTATGGTTTTGGGAAGATAAGAGTCCATCATCATCACAGCAGGCAGCAGGCAGCAGGCTTGATGGCAGGAGGAGCTCAAAGCTCACATTCCAGATCATAACCAGGAAACCAGAGAGCCAACTCAGAATGGTGTCACGGTTTTTTAACCATTAAAGCCATTTCTCCAGCAAGGCCACACCTCCTAAAACTAAGCCAGGCACCACCTGGACATCGAGTATTCTAATGCCTGAGCTATGGGGGAGATCTCATTCAAACCAGTGCACCTTGGTATAAAACGTACGGCCTTTCTGTTCATTTGCTAGTGAGCTGAATTTGTCAGTCACAGAGGTATGTGTGGTGTAGTCCATGGAAACAGAAGCAGGAGAACTGCAAACTTGAGGCTAGTCTCTGCTGGATAGGGAGATCTGGGATTTAATAAAAACACTCCAAACAAATGTTGGAGCTGGTTATTTTTTTCTTTATTTGAATCAAAATGGGTAAGTATTTTAGAATGAATGTGCTTTTCTTTGAGGGACCACTTTTTTTATTCTTGTTAATAATTATATTTAAAACTTACACTTTGCCCAAATGAACCTTATGTTTCAAAGTATAGGTTGATTTTTTTTTTTTCCCCAAGCCCTATATGGTCTGGAACTCGTTAAGTAGAATAGGCTGGCTTCAAACTTAGTGATAAGCCTGCTTCTGCCTCCTGAGTGTTGGGATTGAAGACATGCTATGCCACAACTTGTCCATATGGTGAAATTTTTAGCTGGAGAAGATTGTTTAGGTAGCGGGGTGGAGTTGGAGGTTCAGAGTTTTAGAAAGAGAGTCTACTTTTTATCCTACTTTCAAATCTAAAGTTTAAAGGAGGACATATTTTTGTGTACTCTAATAAGGTTGGATTTTTTCCCTTTGAAAAACCAAGACAATATGTACTTTCTAGTTTTTTTCTATGAATTTTTGAAAATTTCATTGAAAAATTAAAATTTACAGAAGAGTTCCAGTAGTCCTGTGACCTTCTGTGTATATGTCCCTCAGATTCATCAATTACATCATCTCTCCCCTCATACTGTCTTTCTCTTAGTTTTCCCTATTATTTTAATGACCCATTTGTGAATAAGTTATAGACATCATTGTTTAGATTTGAATCTGCATCCTTCTAATTGATTTGCTGATACTGTTTATAATAAAAGATTTTGAACTGTTCCCTGTTTTTATCTCAAAATATTTTGAATATATTGAACCCGTTAGTAAGCTGAAATAATTACTGTATACTTACCATAGTTTATATAAGTTTCTTATAGTTTTTAAATTTGGGAAAGCTATCGTTATTTAAAAATGTTTATGTAAAACATGAAATATACTTCTTGTTAAATGATTTATATATATATATATATATATATATATATATATATAAATGTATATGTCTGTAAGCCAGTTGTCATTAATTTATAGAAGTTATTATGTTGACTCAAACTTTTGCATTCAGAAGAATAGGTGAATGTTTTTTTTACTCCTGAGTTAGAAATACTTTTACCTGCAAAAATATGATTATATTATGTGAATATAATAAATTAAAAGTAAAAACACATGTTAATCAGATAGTCTTTTATAGTGAGCATCATTGGTTATTGGATTTTTTATTAAATATTCTTTTATAGTTAGTCTTTTTGATCTTCTGATGGTGATTCTGGTGGAGAAGAACTAGAATGAGTCTTGCTTGGTGAGACATCCTGAGGAAGCTTTTACACGGCACTCCTGTTCCCTTTGGGATTAGGAAAGTACTGCAGGCTTGATGGGGTGTCTCCATCCTTGTCCTTCTAAGTCAGGGCACTTCAGTGTTAGCTATCCCTCCTCCCACCCCTTTTAATTAGTTCTGTTCCATTTGTTCTGTTTCCCTCTATATCCTTGTATCCCCTATCTCTTTGTCCCACCGTTTTTCTAATTCCTATGGCTATTCCAAATGAAGTGTGCGTATCTAGAGGTTTAAATCTACTATCCACATAAGAGAGAAAACATGAGGTATTCATTGTCTTAGTTAGGTTTCCATGACTGCAACGAAATACCATGATCAAAAAGCAAGTTGGGGAGGAAAGGGGGCTTATACTTTTGTATCTATAGTCCATCACTGAAGGAAGTAGGACAGAAACTCAAACAGGGCAGGATCTTGGAGGCAGGAGGCCATGGAGGGGAGCTGCTTACTAGCTTGCTCAGCCTGCTTTTCTTTCTTTCTTTCTTTTTTCTTTCTTTCTTTCTTTCTTTCTTTCTTTCTTTCTTTCTTTCTTTCTTTCTTTCTTTCTTTCTTTCTTTCTTCTCTTCCTTCCTTCCTTCCTTTCTTCCTTCCTTCCTTCCTTCCTTCCTTCCTTCCTTCCTTCCTTCCTTCCTTCCTTCCTATCTTCCTTCCTTTCCTTTCTTTCTCTCCTTCCTTCCTTCTTCCCTTCTTTCTTTCTTCCTTCCTTCTTTCTTTCTTTCCTTATCCAGGACTACTAGCCTAGGGATGGCACCACCCACCATGGGCTGGTGAGGTGGGCAAGAAGTACCCACCCTTGGCTAGAGATCTATTGGTTAATTATAGCTTCCTGGAGAGAGAAATTCAGTTTCCTTAAAGGATATGACTCCTGGTAGGTGGACCACTCTCTCTAAGGCTGACCCTGCCCTCAAGAATATTTAGGGGATGCATACTAGACTGAATGTATTTAAAAAAATTTAAAAAGTGAACACAGCGTTGGGTAGGTATAGGTGTGAGAGTGGATCTGGGAGAGTTGGGGTTGGGGGGAGGGGGTTAATATGATCAAAATACATTATATGAAATTCTCAAAGAATCAATACTATTATTAAAAATAGTTTCATGGGAAGAGCATACCAGTTGGTTATCTGATACCATGTTCAGCCCTGAAAGCACATATATACAAGTAACATTATATAGATTGATCAGTTTGTGTTTATATGTTTAGGAACATAAATATATGTATGTAACAGCAATTAATGAAAAAAGAGGCCATGAATTTATTTTACAAAGATCAAAGAGGTGTATATGGAAGAGTTTGGAAGGAGAAAAGAGAAGGAGGAAATGATGTAATTATATCGTAATCTTAAAAAATTAAAGAAATATTGTAATATTGTAAAAATAGTTTTAGACAGCGTTTTACTGGTCTAAAATTCTAAGATGCCGTCATTATAGAGATGACCAACTATAGAGAACTTTAGGCATTATGTTAGAAACTAGTAGGAATGCATTCAGGTCATCTTTCATCAGGTAACTATATATGGTGTGTTCGCAGGATGGGAAGTTATCTTACTAGTTTATGTGGGAGTGGGCACAGCAAGCGGTTGACTGAGCATGGCAGTGCCACAGAGTTAAGAACGGAAAGGGGGGGCTTTGTTCTTTGCCATTGAAATTTAAGATCAGGATGTGAAATAATGACCTCTGAAGGAAAATGACATACGGGTGGGGTGACTATGACAGTTAGGAATCCAGATATTAGTGCAGTTTTCTGATTTCCATGTAAAATGGTCAATATGAGAAGTGTTTAATGGCTGAAAAATGTGTTATATATTTCTAAAACTTCTTATTACCTTGAAGCAATACTTGCTAGATTTTGTACTTTTTTTGTTTTGTTTATGTTTTTGTTTTTCAAGACAGTGTTTCTCTGTAGCCCTGACTGTCCTGGAACTCATCCTGTAGACCAGATTGGCCTCGTACTCATAGAGATCCACCTGTCTCTGCCTTCTGAGTGCTGGGATTAAAGGAGTGTGTCACCACCTCCAAGCTTAAATTTTGTACTGTACACTTAAAATATACTAGAAAAAGTTTGAGATAATACATACTTTATACACACATATAATATATATCCTATACACATTTAAAGCTTAGATTTAAATAGTAATTTTTGTGGAAAAGAGCTGGGGAAGGAATATAAGAGTATCTATAGAGCTACTCAGAATTTCTCAGATCTTCCTGTTGTAACAGGCTTCCATTTTGGGGAGAGAGGAACTGTTCTTCTGACTATGACTAGAGGCTGAAGAAGCTTTAAGGAATGTTTACAGTCAGATTGGCAAAGCCTTTGATTGGAATTCTTGTATTTACTACA